AACACAAATAAGCTAGATGATTACATTGCAGCTTGTTATCATATTACTGAGTTCAATAATACTTACTCTCACTGCCTAAACCCATTGGAGGGTATGCAGAATTGGCCAGAGTCTGATCTCCCACCCTTAAAGGCACCTGGATATGTGAGAATGCCAGGCAGACCTAAAAAAGAAATGAAGAGGGAGCCACAAGAACAACCAAAGGTAAAGAGACATTCTAAGGTAGGGACAATCATCAGATGCAAGAAATGTAAGGGAATAGGCCACAATAGGTCCACTTGTGACAAGAGACATGGGGTTCCATATAGCAATAAAACTCCAGGAGGCACAGGTCATGCTGCTCCACAACCAAGTAATGTATCAGCTGATGCTTCTACACATGGCAGCTTTGTACCCACTGCTACCTCTAATGAAAGCAGTAGAGGAAGAGGGAAAAGAAGAGCATCTCAGTGAAGCCAAGTAACTGTATGTGCTACTTCGTATGTTGTTTCCTTTTTTTAATTTTGCCTCCAATTGCTTATATTTTAACTCACATGCAGAAAAATATCAAGTGCACTGCCACAGCTAGAGTGCAAACGCCTGGGCAAGCTACCATGCATTTACAAGCCAATGTTCCATTGTCACAGGCAAGTTCTTCTGTCAACTTGAGTTTTAATGGTGAAAAAGCATGTGTTACAGTCACTGCCGAGGAACCTCCAAGGAAAAAGCAAGTAGTGAAGAAGCGCACACAACCAAGCCAACTGTTGCTTCTCAAAGACCGTGCTGATCCCTATGAGCATGTATTGCCATATTGTGATGTTAACTTGTAATGTAATGCCAGACTTTTAAGGCATTTGTAATGTAATGTTCAGCCGTTTCTATCACTCCTTGGTTGAACTTGTAATGTAATGCCAGACTTTTAAGGCTATAAGTGCTCGAAGTTGTGCTGGTGTGCAAATTATAATGCCAGACTTTAATGTCTTGTAATGTAATGCCAGACTTTTAAGTTCTCGAAGCTGTGCAAATACATGGTTATTAAGTCCTGAGTCCTTATAGCTTTTCAAGTTTAGAGCCTGGTTCCTGTCCTGACAAATGTAGCTCAGCGTGTTCTATTACCCAATCAAGCTATAAACTGTAGTGTAGTCAATCATTTTACTTGCACCTTGCAGTTAGTAGGCTGTACTAATTTATGAAGATTTCCAGGTTCCAACCAAAGCTCACAAAAACGAATACCAGCTGATGCTGCCCCCAAATCTAGTGCAGCACACTTGTAGGTTTTGTAGCAGTTTTGGTGGTCAGGTAACTGCTGACATGTGTGATGATCTACCAACTTTTTGCAAGGTGAATGATGTACTTTCGCCAACTTAAACCCAGTTCTTACGAAATAATCTCACTTATGCCGTCAGACACCAGGTCATGGGATAGTGGGTGCTGGCCTCCTTACTATATCCTATAGGTAAAGAAGTTGTTATTTCCTATGGATCACAGAATCACAGAGCCCAAGTAAAGGCAAAATAGAAGAAACGGGTATTTCTCCATCAGAGAGCAAGTCATCCTAGAAAAAGAATGATAGCCAATTTGAGTTCCTCAGTTCACATGAAAGAGCAATAGGATATGAAATCAAATTTGGTAGAAGCAAGAAAAGCAATAAGACTTCATGTCACTAGATACCTGAAAGCCTTATCTTGGAATTCATAATCGATTCAAAGATAGCAAAATACATCTTTAATTCAATACATCCTCCATACTTCTACACCACAAACTAACAAGCATCCAACTACTACCATTCACAACTAAAAAAGCAACAAACATCTACTTCCTAAAAAGTACAGCAAGCACTAGAATCACATACAGGCTGCCAATACAAACTTCAACAAACCTAATTCCTTCTCTACCATCCTGCATTTCAACTGAACATCATCTGTTCCAACTGTTTGCACCGTTGGTGCCACAACATCTGTGCCTGCAAATCCTGTTTCCACCATGGCTCTTTCTTGTTGCCTTGATGCTTCTGCATCAACTAATGCCAGATCCATGTGGCCATTTCCCTGTCTGTTAGCCGTCCTCATTGCTCGCACTTGGTCACGGAGCTCAATAAGAACGAGTACAAGGTGCTCCGGGGTTGGTGGATCAATCCAGCGATAAAATTGGCATGGCCGCATATTGCTCTGCAACCGTGATTACAACCAAAACCAAGACAGATTCAATCATCACATCCAACAAAGAACCAAGGACAAGAACCAAACCCTAAACAAGTCATCGATCGAACTCACCTGAGATCTGAAGCAATTGTAGAACCTGCGGCCTGGATTATCATTGGTCCACGACGTCCACTTTGCCGCCTTCGCTCTGCAATCGCAAAGCACGGGCGGCCAATAATCAAGAGGGCCTCGGCGACACAGCAAGGGGGACGACCGAAAGCCACCACGGTCGTACCTTCCTCCTCCCCTCTAGCTACTCACGCTGCTCGAGCTTGCCATGCTGTCGCTGTCGTCGGGAGTTAGGGTAGAGAGTGAGCAAGTCAGCGACTGGAGCTGTCGATCCGCACCCGAACCAGCACCCTCCGCCGTCGCCGTCGCCGCCGTCGGGAGTTAGGGTTCGGGGTTGGGGAACGAACGGAAGAGAGTGAGAGGAGAGTGCGGGAGTAAGTGGGCCGCGAGAAAATGAAAAAGGCCCAATACCGCGATCGTCGCGGGTTGACCGGGCGGAAACCGTCGTCGCGCCGGCGCGAGGGCCATTTCTATCTGGTTTACAGAGTTGATAGACTGCGGCTGTCTGGTTTTCGAGTTGGAGGGCTAAAACCAAACCGCTGCCATAGTTGGAGGGCCAAAAACGGACTTTTTCCTTTTCTATATATAGTTAGTCAAACTTGAGATACTTTAATTACTATTGTGCTAGAATTATGTATTTTTTCGGGCGGAGGGAGTACTATTGACAGGCGCATCATCACACAATTAGCCAAAAATACAGTGTTGGTGCAGAAAGTGACCACCACGTAAATATTTGTAGTTTTGCCGTACGTTGTGATCGGATGTGGCCTAACACTTAATGACACAGGGTTTATACTGGTTTAGGCAACGTGCCCTACGTCAAGTTTGAGTCAGTCGGTGACTTTATTCCTGAGCCTAGTTGCTCGAAGTTTACTGTGGGATTATAAACGGAAGGGAGAAAGATGGGGGGTGCAAGAGGCCCAGTCGAACTCCGACCGAAGGGCCGAGAGTGACGGGAGCTCCTGCATGTGCTAAGTATTCGAGCGTGCGCTCTGTGTAGCTTTAGAGTGTCTAAAGCTAGCAGGAGTGAATTGATATAAGTGAACTGAGGGATCCCCCTGTTGGGAGTGAGCGCATCCCCTTTTATAGATGAAGGGGACGGCCTTACAAGAGAGAGAGAGAGAGAGTACGTATGCTACTAAGTCTTATTACCCACGCCGTTGGATACAAAATGATTGTAGGCGCCTACAACACTGTTGATGTCAGACGCATGTGGGAGGTTTTTACCGTGTTCTCCATGTAGAGCAAATGACGACGCCTACAACACTGTTAGTGTCTAGAGACATGTGGGGGAGCCTTACCGTGTTTGTAATGGTATGGGAGTTGATAGCGCCCACAACACTGTAGGGCAATTGTCGGCGCCCACAACACTACTTGGGTTCTGATATGCCTGGAAGGTTGCAGGGCACCCTTCTGACACGTCCTGTTGGTACTGTCCTGCAGGTGTACAGGGTACGGTCCTTGGTATTGTGGTTGACTTGAGTGTCATGTTTTACCTGCTCCGCCCGTTTCCTGGTCCTTACCGAGCGGGCGTCCCCGGTTGGTCGGTCCCCGTCGGCTCCGACTGTGTCAATCGGAGAAGAGCTGTAAGCAGAGGTTCGATGTATCCCCGGTCGAAAATGCGGGCCAGAGTCGGAAGCAGTGTTTGGCTAGGCCTTCCGGTCAGAGAGGCAGGCCGGAGTCGGAAGCGAGTGTTGTTTCTCTTTGGCCAGGCCTTCCGGTCGGAGAGGCGGGCCGGAGTCGGAAGCGAGCGCTGTTCCTTTTTAGCGAGGTCTTCCGGTCGGAGATTGGATCGCCCTTCTGGCCTATCGTTTAGATATTTGGGCTAGCCCAGGAGTTGCGCATCGTTCACAACGTCGTCTGCTGGGCCGAGCCTTTACTGGAAAGCCGGTCCATGAGAGACCCCGGGTTTATGAACCCGACATACTGAAACTCAAATCCGAGTGTAGTGTTCAGTGTGCAGGTACCACGTACCACAAGGAACCTATTTCAGTTTAGTTAGAGGTGCCAAATAACTTTGAAAATGTTCATTAGTTTGTTGTCCTACAGTAATATATTTATAAAAAAACGGCAGTAACGATACGCTGATCCTACACAAATGTATGTTCTCCTACTAGTAGTAGTAAGCTCCAAAACCTTTTTTTTTCTCTCCCCAACGAATAGGTGAAACATACATTATTGAATTATTAGTACAACAACCCTGCGATCCATTGCATTCTTTAGACCACAGCCACATCAAGATTCGAAATTAACGGACCACCTTCATTTTATTATGAAGTACAAATCAATGACACAGGTGAAGCGAGCAGGGTCAATATATTTGAATTTATACTTGACTAAGTGTCATGGGTCATCGACTAAGTGCCATCATCGACTAAGTGCCATGGGTCATCGACGGTCTCCACTTCTGCTCCCCTACTGCCTCCCTTCCTGTCTCCTTTGAGCAGTTCGCTCGCGGTGGCAACGCCATCGAGAAGAGGATTCTGCACGGTGGTTTGCTCCGTGCTTCGTCAGGTAAGGCTTAATATTCCCAGCAAAATATAGATTTTCTAGCCACCTTTGTTTCTTTCGTTGCACGGCTGCCTTTATTCATTAGTCAGGATAACTAATGGCCTCTCAAATTGAAACGGAATTTTATCAAGCGATTGAGAACCAACTTTGCTGGTTAATTTGTACTGTATTAAAGGGTTGCAATGAGATCCACATAGCTAGCACAATATTGAAACAGGGAAAAAAATGAGCGTGCCACCAATGGCGAAAAGGACCACAGTAATCCAGGCAACAAAATTGGGAGTAGTATGTCAGCTACGGAACATAGCATGCTTATTACTAATTGTTTGCTCAGCTATTGTTTCTTCTAATACAGATAACGCTATACGAGGTAGCATAGCTGCAACTGCCACTACACTTTTACCCAAAATCAGCAGATGAGCTGTCCAACTCTTTCAAGAACTTGTCCAAACATTAGAATAGCATTCAGTAATATTCATAGGTCTAACATTTAACCTGCCAAGTCAGGTGCTCATTAGTTGCTTATTTTTTGTTATTACAATACTCACAAAATCCATTATAACAAGTGAAGAACACTGTGTAAAATGAGAAAATACTACAAGCAATCTAAGTCGTATGTTGGATTATTAGAGATATATATGTGTTGTACATGACTTAACTTGTAACATAAGCCGTTCCAGTTATATATATGAAAGGTCACCCAACCCTAAAGGTGTGCGTGTATTCCCATTCCCATATGCTATCACACTACACGGATATCTTTTCCTTCTTTCTTCCTGAAAATGTCTGCAAGTTGAACTTACTCTCAGGGGAAAAAACAAGCCATTTATCTGAATTTCTTAGCAACAATATTGAGTTCAAATTTCAATACTCAAATCTACTCGATTGTTTGACCTTGGTGGCAGCTACTGATTTACGAGAGGACAGTGACAATTACATAACTTATTCCACTGTTGTTTTTTGTCAAAACAAATTTTATTACAGGTTCCACCATGTTCCAATATTTACAAGAATGGCCACAGATATACTCACCCAGCTTCTGGATGGATGCTTTTGCATTGATGCAGCTGATATTCATCATATGTGTATCCAGTCAATTTCTGTTGAAGAATATTAGATGGTGCGGGCAGAGATTGAAAACTTCAATTCCTGAGAGCAATCAGCATTCATATCAGGGCCAAGAGAATAGAGACATAAAGCTGACTGTATCATACCAAGCAACCAAAGCTTGCTGCCTGCTTATGTTAACAACTCATGTCTTGCGGTTATTACTTTTGCAGTTACACAAAAAATCAAGTTATTGCAAGTATCTGCATTGCATGCTAAGTGAAGGTTTGCAGGTGTTATCCAGGATAATATTGTCACTAGCAGCATTCAGTTTCCAGGAAACAAAATCTACTAAACTACCATTGATAATTCGAACATGGTGGATATTCAACTTTCTGCAATCAACTGCCAGGGTGGGGTTTGATCTCAGGTCAGCTTTATCGGAACATGAACACATAGGGTACGAAGAATGGATCAATCTGTTCAGTTTTGTCCTTTGCGCTTTTCTGTTTGCAATTTCAGCCAGAGGAAAAACAGGGATCAGGATCACCTGCAGAGATAGCAGCATAACAGAGCCACTTTGGATCCCATCTGTAGCACAGGAGATGCAAGCTGACAGGCTATGTCAATACGGAAGGGCAGGTATTCTACAACTTATCACATTCTCCTGGATGAACCCTATCATAGCTACTGGATACAGGAAACCTCTAGACAAGAACGATGTCCCAGATCTTGATGGGAAAGACTCTGCTAAGTTCCTCTCTGTTTCGTTTACAAAGATCATAGATGATGTTGAACTCAGGCATGGTTTAAGTACATCATCAATATATAAAGCAATGTTCCTATTTGTTCGTCGGAAAGCAATGGTCAATGCAGGACTTGCTGTGTTAAGTGCCAGCGCTTCCTATGTTGGACCATCACGGATTAACGACTTCGTGAAGTTCCTTGCAGGAGACAGGCGATATGGACATGTAAGAGGTTACCTTATAGCTTTAGCTATTCTAAGTGCCAAAGTAGTGGAAGCAATAGCGGATAGTCAGTGGTGGTTTGGAGCTCAACAGCTCGGGATGCGGCTGCGAGCTGCTTTGGTATCCCATGTCTATCAAAAGGGACTTCAGCTATCTTTCAGTTCAAGGCAGAAACACACCAGTGGAGAGATCATAAACTATATGGATGTAGATATACAACGGATTTCTGATTTCTTATGGTACACAAACTACATATGGATGCTACCCATTCAACTCTTTCTAGCTGTCTATGTTCTCTATCGAAATCTAGGGGCTGGGGCCTGGGCTGGTTTAGCAGCAACAATGGCAGTAATGGCTTGCAATATTCCACTAACCAGAATGCAAAAAAGGTTGCAAGCCAAGATCATGGCTGCTAAAGATGACAGAATGAAGGCGACAGAAGAAATTCTTAAGAGCATGAAAATACTGAAACTTCAAGCATGGGCTATGCAGTACATACAAAAGATAGAGGCTTTAAGAAACGACGAGTACAGGTGGCTATGGAGATCTGAGAGGTTGTCAGCTCTGACATCACTAGTATTTTGGGGGGCACCTGCATTCATATCCTGTGTAACTTTTGGTTCATGCATATTGATGGAGATTCCTCTTACTACTGGTAGTGTTTTGTCTGCGCTTGCAACATTCCGGATGCTACAAGATCCAATCTTCACACTTCCTGACTTGCTTTCAGTGTTTGCTCAGGGGAAAGTATCAGCTGATAGAGTGGCAAAGTACCTACAGGAAGAAGAACTGAAATGTGATGCAGTTACACAAGTGCCAAGAAGCGATACATGCTATGACGTGGAGATTGATCAGGGAACATTCAGCTGGGAGCTTGGGACCACTTGTCCAACTCTCACAGATGTACAGTTAAGTGTAAAGAGAGGGATGAAAGTAGCTATCTGTGGGATGGTCGGCTCTGGAAAATCCAGTCTATTATCATGCATACTTGGGGAAATGCCAAAGCGAGATGGGTCTGTCAGGGTCAGTGGGAGCAAAGCATATGTTCCTCAAACTGCCTGGATCCTGTCTGGTAACATCAGGGACAACATTCTCTTTGGAAACCCATACGATGATGAAAAGTATGAAAGGGTAATAAATGCTTGTGCACTGACTAAAGATTTTGACTTGCTTCCAAATGGAGATTTGACTGATATTGGTGAAAGAGGAATTAATATGAGTGGTGGGCAGAAGCAGCGAATTCAAATTGCAAGGTCGATGTACGGGGATGCAGATATTTACCTGTTTGATGATCCTTTTAGTGCAGTAGATGCTCATACTGGAAGCAAGATTTTCAAGGTTTGTTTTGTAGTCCCAAAATCTGCATAAATATACTTAAAACTATGTACTGTGAATTTGATAAGTTAATCATTTAGGACTTTATGACAGCAACCAGTACATATTCTAAGCAAATAAATAATTGGATTGCAGGACTGTGTCATGGGAATCCTTAAAGACAAAACAGTCCTGTATGTGACCCACCAAGTCGAATTTCTTCCAGCTGCAGATCTTATATTGGTAGGTGGTGCCTAAAACTCATTTTTGTTTCTCTACTCATGTCCAAAGGTTGAAGTTGCCAAGTAACTAACCATGTGGATACAAGTTTACAGGTGATGCAGGGCGGAAAGATTGTGCAGAGAGGGAAATTTGATGAGCTCCTTCAAAGGAAAAAAGGATTCAAATCAATGGTAGGAGCCCATAGCCAGGCTCTTGAATCTGTCATGAATGCCGATAACTCCAGTGGAACATCATCAGATAACCAGAAATTAGCAGATATTGAGGATGAATTCAACACAGAAAAGGAAACTGATGATCAGCTACAGGGCATAACAAAGCAAGGGTTAGTACAAAATGTTTCACAAGATATCAGTGACAAGAGGAGGTTAACACAAGATGAGGAGAGAGAAAAGGGAAGCATTGGCACAAAAGTTTACTGGACGTACCTAAGGGCAGTTTATGGTGGTGCCTTAGTTCCAGTAATAATTGCAGCACAGTTATTGTTCCAAATATTTCAGATAGCAAGTAACTTTTGGATTAGACCTCCTCTTCTCTGTGTATATAGCACTATCTATGGGAAGTGCACTATGTATCTTCGCCCGCACCATGGTCACGTCACTTATTGGTTTACTAACATCAGAAAAGTTCTTCAAAAAACATGATCTGCTGCATCCTGCGTGCCCCAATGTCCTTCTTTGACTCGACACCTACTGGCAGAATTTTAAACAGGGTCAGTTTATATGAAAATTTCATAGCACATCACATGCCCACACACTACTAAAGTACTAACTAATCAATGTTTGTTTTTTGTGTAACAGGCCTCCAGTGACCAAAGTGTTCTAGATCTAAACATAGCAAACAAGCTTAGTTGGTCCTTGCTTTCAGTCATACAAATCCTGGGTACCATTGGTGTTATGTCACAGGTTGTGTTATGGTGGGCCAGACCTACCAGAGAAAGAGGAAGGCAAGTGGCTGAGCGAGATCGCGGGCATGCAGGCCGCGTCTGCGCGCGACGCGGGATTGAGCGCGATAACCGCGCCTTGCTTGAGGTTGTTAGATCAGAAGAGTAAAACTAGGAGTTTGTTTTCATCTTGTAACAAAGGGAGCCTATAAGGCTTAGACAATTCCTTAATGAAGATTTAGCCTGGGATTGAGACACCTCGTCTCCCTTGGGCGTCCAGCACACCGTTCACGGGTAGCTCCGTAGCAGCTGCGTTCGTCGACGCACCGACCACGGCGCCACCACTTCGCCGGCGTCCTGTTCGTTCGCTCTCTGCCACTTCTTATCCCTGTCGCCTCCGTCCCCTTCCCAGCTGAGTTGGCCGTAACAACCTGGTATCAAAGACCATGTCGTCCTCGGCTCCGGTCATCCCCACCACCGTTCCACCCTCCTCCGGCGTGGTTTCGACTACCACCGCCCCACCCTCCACCGTCGTGCCAACCTCCAACATCATCACCACCTCGTCATTACCCAACCCTCAACTCCAGCCCATTGAACCCACGGCCGAAGCATTCGGCCACCTCGCCGCGGCCATCTATGCCATGCAGAGGCAAATCGGGGACTTGTCCATGCGCATGTCCTCCGTCGAGAGCCGGCCACCCGCTCCGCCGATGTCATACCCCTATGGCCTTCCGGGCTACGGTGGTATCCCGGCACTGCCGCCCCCGGCCCCGGTCAGCTCCGAGTTTTTCTCCGTTCCGCCATTCCAGCCCCTCGTACCAGCCTCCTCCACTCCACCCACCACGTCCTTGCCTCCACCATCCACGGGGATGCCAATCACCCAGATCCAATTTCCACACTCGCCCTCGCCGGTGCCATCGATGTCATCCATCCTCGGTGGCTCCTGCCCAGCGCCGTCCCAATCCATGCCATCCGCTCCCATGTTCTACACCTCTACACACCCCCACATACCTCCTAAATCTGGCCACCCCACTGTCCCACGCTACCAAAAACTCTCATTCCCCACCTACAACGGCAAAGATGATCCACTGGGCTGGCTCAACAAGTGTGAGCAATTCTTCCGAGGCCAGCAAACACGCCATGCCGACTGGGTCTGGCTGGCCTCCTACCACCTAACCGGGGTGGCGCAGCAGTGGTACCTCGTCCTCGAGGGCGACTGCGGCCGACCGCCATGGGAGGAGTTTCGGCGGCTCTGTCACCAGCGCTTTGGGCCGCCGTTGTGCACCAACCATTTGTCCGATCTGGCGTGCCTGCCATTCACGTCGATGGTTGACGCGTACATGGAGGCTTTTCAGGCCCGCGCGGCTCACGCCGGTCGCCTGGCCCCGCTCCAGAAGGCGCAGCTTTTCACCGACGGTCTACCGGATCACATCCGTGTCGATGTCGAACTCCACGAACCGTAGGACCTCCAGCGCGCAATGCTCCTGGCCCGTGCCTACGAGCGCCGGAACGCGCCTCATCAGCTGGCCTTGCCGGCGCCGCCACTCCGCCCTCCTCGGCGGGCGCCCGGGACACCGGCCGTTGTGCCAGCCCCGACCGCGACGCCGAGCGCCCCAGGGGGCTCCACAGCACCAGCAGCGCGCCCGTTCAAGCGCCTGTCCCCGAAAGACATGGCCCTTCACCGCAAGCAAGGGCTGTGTTATAACTGCGACGAACCTTACGTCCGGGGGCACAAGTGCGCGTGTCTCTTCTTCCTGGAGGCGTCGGACTACATTGTGGAGGAGCCCAACGACGCCGATGCAGCCCCGGAGGTCCAGGCAACGGAGCCGCCGCCATTTGACCCGGAGGCGCCCATGATCTCCCTCTCAGAGATCACCGGCATCCGCACCGAGGAGACGATGCAGCTCCGCATTCACATCGGCCAGCACGAATTCACGACCCTCCTCGACTTCGGATCCACGCATAACTTCATCAGCGCGGGGGCAGCGCGGCGCGTCAGCCTCAGCTTTAGCGCCAGTGCCGGCGCGCACGTTGTCGTCGCAAACGGCGACCGCGTCGCGTGTCACGGCCTCGCGCACGACGTGGGCGTGCGGATCGGGGCGGAGGACTTCAAGGTCGACTGCTACTCCATCCCGCTCGATTGCTACGATATGGTGCTCGGCATCGCGTGACTTCGGACTCTCGGCCCGATCCTATGGGACTTCGACGCCATGTGGATGGCGTTCACACGCCACGGGCGCTGGATCCTCTGGAAGGGCCTCGGAGCGCCACGCTCGTCTGCCCAGTGCGCGGGACGCATTCACGCCGGCCACCTCTACACCGCCAAGGGGACCGAGGGGGCACTGCTCGAACGCCTCCTCGACGCCTACGACGACGTCTTCGCAGCACCGACGGGCCTACCGCCGGCCAGGCCGTGCGATCATAGGATCCACCTCAAGCCGACCACCGATCCGGTCGCCGTCCGGCCATATAGGTATCCAACTCCAGAAAGACGAACTGGAGAGGCAGTGTGAATAGATGCGCCAACAGGGGATCATCCGTATCAGCACGTCCCCATTTTCGGCGCCCGTCCTCCTTGTCAAGAAAGCCGACGCGTCATGGCGGTTTTGCGTCGATTACAGGGCGCTGAACGCGGTGACAGTGAAGGACATGTTCCCCATCCCTGTCGTCGAGGAACTGCTCGATGAGCTGCACGGCGCCAAATTTTTCACCAAACTTGATCTCCGATCGGGCTACCATCAGGTGCGCGTCCACCCCGACGACGTGGCAAAAACGGCGTTCCTAACGCACCATGGCCACTTTGAATTCCTCGTCATGCCGTTCGGGCTCTCGAACGCGCCAGACGTTCTAGGCGCTCATGAACTTTGTCCTCAAGCCATTCCTCCGCCGGTGCGTACTTGTATTCTTTGATGACATCCTCGTCTACAGCACAACGTGGATAGAACACCTGCAGTAGCTCCGCACCGTCCTCGACGTCCTTCGTGAGCACCGCCTCCACATCAAGCGCTCCAAGTGCTCTTTCGCTGAGCCATCGGTGCACTACCTCGGTCACGTCATCACGGGGGGCCGGTGTCGCCATGGACACCTCCAAGGTGACCGCGGTCCAGGCCTGGCCGCAGCCAAGATCAACCCGGGGGCTGCGCGGCTTCCTGGGCCTCGCCGACTATTACCGGCGCTTCATCCGCAACTATGGCGCCATCGCCGCGCCACTCACACAGCTGCTGCGGAAGAACAGCTTCCAGTGGACCGATGCCGCGTCCACTGCCTTCGGCGAGCTGAAGGCGGTGCTATCAGCAGCGCCCGTCCTCCACTTGCCGGACTTCACCCGCGACTTCGTCGTCGACTGCGACGCCTCCGGCTCTGGCTTCGGCGCGGTGCTGCACCAAGATGACGGGCCGATCGCCTTCTTCAGCCAGCCGTTTGCCGCACGCCACCTCAAGTCCGCGCCATACGAACGCGAACTCATAGGTTTGGTGCAGGCGGTCCGGCATTGGAGGCCCTACCTCTGGGGGCGCGCTTTCGTCGTTCGTACCGACCACTACGCTCTGAAGTTCCTCCTCGACCAACGCCTATCGACGATCCCACAAAATCACTGGGTTAGCAAACTTTTCGGATATGATTTCCAGGTGGAGTATCGTCAAGGCCGCCTCAACGTCGTCGCCGACGCCTTATCGCGGCGTGATGGCGAGGCGCCCCTACTGGCCACGCTCCCAGACTCAGCGCCATCCCTGGCAGCGCTGTCCGTCCCCGCATTCCAGCTCTTCACGGACCTGCGGGCCGAGCTGGAGAACTCCAACGTCCTGCGCGCACGCCGGGACGCCATCGCGGCGGGTGCCCATGGTGACGCCTGGCGGGTACACGACGGCCTCATCCTTCACGACAGCCGCGTGTTCGTGCCCACCATGGTGCAGGTGCTCGATGATGTGCTCCGGCTGGCTCACACCGGGGCGCATGAGGGGATCCAGAAGACGCTCCAGCGCCTCCACGCGGAGTTCTACGTGGAGCACGACCGGCGCATCGTTCGTGACTTCGTCATGTCATGCGCGACATGCCAGCGCAACAAAACGGAGGCGCTCCACCCTGCGGGCCTTCTTCAACCTCTACCGGTGCCATCCCGCGTTTGGGCGGACATCTCCATCGACTTCATCGAAGCTCTACCCAAGGTGCATGGAAAAAGCGTCATCCTCACTATTGTGAACAGGTTTTCGAAGTACGCGCACTTCATCGCATTGGGGCACCCGTACACTGCTGCATCGGTAGCCCGCGCCTTCTTCCACGACATCGTTCGGCTGCACGGCTTCCCCGACTCCATCGTCAGCGACCGCGACCCCGTCTTCACCGGTCGCGTCTGGCGCGATCTTTTTCGCCAGGCGGGAGTGCAACTGCGCTTCAGCACGGCATTCCACCCCCAAACGGACGGCCAATCCGAGGCGGTGAACAAGGCCATCGCAATGTATTTGCGGTGTCTCACCGGCGACTGCCCACGCGACTGGCTCGACTGGCTTCCATGGGCCGAATTTTGGTATAACACGGCCTTCCACTCCGCGCTTCGCACTTCGCCGTTCGCCGTCGTCTACGGCCGTCCTCCCCTGGACATGCTGCTGTACACGCCAGGGAGGGCGCACACGGCCGCGGTGGACGCGATGCTGGCCAACCGCGATGAGTTTCTCGCGGAGGTCCGCGCCCGCCTGCTCCAAGCACAAGAACATGCTCGTCGTTCCTATGATGCCAAGCATCGCGCGCTCACGTTCTCAGTAGGCGACTGGGTGTGGCTTCGCCTTCTACACCCTCCCACGAAGACCTTGGTTCCTGGAGGTCGCGGCAAGCTCGGGCCTAAGTTCGCCGGCCCGTACCAAGTCATCGAACAGGTGAACGCGGTGGCCTACCGGTTGAAGCTTCCCGAGGGCACCCGCATACATGACGTCTTCCACGTTGGGGTGCTCAAGCCGTTCCGCGGCACTCCGCCGTTCGACGTCCTGGCCCTTCCTCCACTTCGCCATGGACGGCCGCTCATGCACCCGGAACGCGTGCTACGCTCCAGTCTCCGCCGCGGGGAGTGGTACATTCTTGTGCAGTGGGCCGACATGCCGGCGTCCGAAGCAACCTGGGTGCAAGCTAAGGAGTTCCGCACGGTGCATCCAGACTTCCAGCTCGAGGACGAGCTGTTTCCGAGGAGGGGAGAGATGTTATGGTGGGCCAGACCTACCAGAGAAAGAGGAAGGCAAGTGGCTGAGCGAGATCGCGGGCATGCAGGCAGCGTCCGCGCGCAACGCGGGATTGAGCACGATAACCGCGCCTTGCTTGAGGTTGTTAGATCAGGAGAGTAAAACTAGGGGTTTGTTTTCATCTTGTAACAAAGGGAGCGTATAAGGCTTAGACAATTCCTTAATGAAGATTTAGCCTGGGATTGAGACACCTCGTCTCCCTTGGGCGTCCAGCACACCGTTCACGGGTAGCTCCGTTGCAGCTGCGTTCGTCGACGCGCAGACCACGGCGCCACCACTTCGCCGGCGTCTTGTTCGTTTGCTCTCTGCCACTTCTTATCCCTATCGCCTCCGTCCCCTTCCCAGCCGAGTTGGCCGTAACAGGTTGCATGGCCAGTTTTTGCCATCTTGGTTCCAGTGACGGTACTCTGCTTCCTGTATCAAGTATGAATTTTTAAGAAAACTTTAGGTCTTACTTATAATTTTGGATTATCTTTACCATTATGCAATTGGCTAATACTGAGAACTATGCATTTGAGGAAGCTTTGATAGCAGTATTCTGAATCCATATACTTTGTGTACAATGTGCAGCACTACCAAATCCCAGCAGCAAGAGAGCTGGCTCGTTTGTATAAAATTCAAAGGGCGCCAATACTACACCATTTTGCAGAGTCACTTTCAGGAGCATCGAGCATTAGAGCATATGGACAGAAAGATCGTTTCAGAAAAGAAAACCTTGGTCTTTTAGACAAACATTCCAGACCATGGTTCCATAACTTGGCTTCCATGCAGTGGCTTTCTCTCAGGCTAGCCATGCTGTCCAACCTTGTCTTCGCAGTTTGTTTGACTCTACTAGTCAGCCTTCCTGAAGGTTTATTGAACCCAAGTAAGATGTCTATGCAAAACTCTTGGTGACTAAAGAAGCCTTAATCTGTCCTAAGTTTAGAAATTTGTCAAACTAATATAATTGCACATGCAGGCATTGCTGGACTTGCAGTGACTTATGCATTGAACCTCAACTATCAGTTGATGTCTATGATTTGGAACATTAGCAGAATAGAGAACAAAATGATATCAGTAGAAAGAATATTGCAGTACTCAAGGATACCTAGTGAGGCTCCTCTAATAGTAGACTACTATCGCCCACCAAATAGCTGGTCACAAGATGGAACTATCAATATAAGATGCTTGGAGGTATGTGACAAAGAATCATGAATGATGAACTAATATGAGTGCAAGTAATCAAGAATATGCATGCAAACCTGCAAACATAATGCTATTAACTGACAAATATTAAAAATGTATCGCTGAGTTGACCAAAAAAGTTCACTTTTGCATTAAATTTAAAGCTGAATAGTGACATGCTCAAACTAAGGTTAACTAGATTGCAGATGTTGCCAGCAACATTCATCTCATATTATACTTTATCAGAGAAGAATTAGAACATCCCAAAAAACAATAAGAGCAAAATAAACAGCAGATTTGTGATTGTTTCTGTTGCACAACAAATGATATATCTTTATATATAAGACAAAAATACTGAATAGTCAAGAAGGAAAAAACATTAAATTTAAGAGACAGATATAGAAGCCATATACAAATAAATGTGGCTCTTACCTTTTATTTTCTATATAATTAAGGGAACATTTATTCTGTATTTTGTCTCAATATATGCATCTGCTCAAATGGAGACATCTAATGTGAGCTATGCTTTTACAGGTGCGATATGCAGAGCATCTCCCATCTATTTTAAGGAACATATCATGTATAATTCCAGGAAGGAAGAAGGTGGGGATTGTAGGACGTACTGGTAGTGGAAAGTCAACTTTTATCCAAGCACTTTTCCGGATCGTTGAACCACGGGAAGGGACAATCAAAATCGACGATATTGACATTTGCAAAATTGGGCTGCATGATTTACGTGGCAGACTTAGCATCATTCCACAGGATCCAACTATGTTTGAGGGAACAGTGAGAGGGAACCTTGATCCACTAAACGAGTACTCTGATCAACGTGTGTGGGAGGTAACTAAATTAACTACAAATCCATCATGATAAAGAAAACCTTACTTACCATATGAAATAGAGGAGCTAAGTCTTTTATGTTACCAAATAACTAAACAAAAATTAAGGTGTCTTCTCTGAAAGGATAATGATGTAGTAATGAATGTGATTCACAGTGATTGTGCTTATCTATCAAGGAACATGCAGTAAATAGCAAAGATTGAAGCTGGAATGGGGAAAACATATAAGTGTTGTATAGTACAAGACTGCACACATAGTAACCAAAGCAATGCCTAAGATTTTTCTTGTAACTTATATCCAACTTGATAGCAAAAGGGTTCAGCCTAGTGGTTGTGACTCGTGAGTAGCACCTCTAGTGTTTGGGTTTGACTCCCGTCGGAACGAATGTCAAGGCTGGTTAAAAAACTTCCTCACTGACAACACATGAAATATGGTAGGGAACTGGCCTATGGTAATGGTGGCAGTCAGCCAATGTGAGGACTGCGGACCCTCAAAAAAATGTGAGGACTGCGACCCTACCCGGGGTAGTGACAAGGCACCAAACCAGGTAGTTGGTTACGGTGTGGCGCTATAGGGTCTGCACTATCAGGATTCGAGTGGTTTATTGATCGGTTGAAGGCTGAGATGTCTTTTTTTTCGTGACACAAAAGTGGAATATCAATATATTAAGAAGAAAAAAAGGGACAAGAACCCTTACAACACACACCCACACAACCCAGCAGAAAATTAAAAGTACATTTGTGTCTTATGAAAAAAAAACAAGAAACAACCTCAACCTAAGCCATCATGAACACCTGTGGGGGCGGTCTTCCCCCCACCAGCCTAGTTTTTTTAACCAACTTGATCAAAATTCATAATCTAAATTGATATACAATTGAACAGAAAGGGTTTCCCTCCAAAAGAAAAATGATGACTAGAGGGAGAAGGCACCTGATAAGAAAATTGGTTTTCTTAATTTGCTCAGGTATTGGACCAATGCCAGCTTGGTGATATAGTTCGGCAAAGCCCAAAGAAGCTGTATTCAACAGGCAATTTACCCTTTCTGGTGCAGTGGCTAAATGTGAAGTAGTAACTATAGCGTGTAGATTAGGATTCTTTTATGACTATGAGCCTGTTCGTTTCGGCTGAAACGATCGTGGATTATTACTGCTGGCTGGTTTGGTGTGAGAGAAAAATACTATTCTGACTTATAATCCACGATCGTTTACGACCAAGCGAACAGGCTGATCAAATGGGGTACCCCCTGTAGTTGTCGAGAATGGGGAGAACTGGAGCGTGGGCCAGAGGCAGCTGTTCTGCCTTGGAAGGGTTCTGCTAAAGAGAAGCAATGTCCTCGTACTCAATGAGGCAACTGCTTCAGTTGACTCCTCCACTGATACAATTATCCAAGAAACCATTCGTCGAGAGTTTGGGAATTGCACGGTGTTGACGGTAGCGCACAGAATTCACACAGTTGTTGACAGCGATCTCATTCTTGTCTTCAGTGAAGGTAAGCCCAACACATCCTCTGCATGTTATTGGACACACCTAGCTGCAGTGATACTAAAATCCATACTGTTCATGATGGGCAAGAAGGATTGTAGAATACGACACACCATCAAAACTACTGAATAACAAGAACTCTGAGTTCTCCAGGCTTGTCAAGGAGTACTCAAGGCGGTCCCCACCGCTTCAGTGGTAGAGCAAACAACTGAATGGCGATGAGCTCAGTATGAAGCCAAGAATTGAAATTGAGGCCAATCACAGTGGGTGGCATGGCACTAGCTCCTATATCCAGACTGATTATGTTCCTGATGTGAGGAGACATTCTGAATAAGAAAAAAACTGCATCTACCCCATGACCCACGTACACATGTGAACGTGGATGATGGGTGTGGACAGTGGCGGAGCCAGGATTCTGAAGTTGGGTATTCCCATGTGCGAAAAAAAATCCAATATATGGTAGCTTGGGTTTCAAATATACTAATTTATAGTAGTATTATCACATCACAGAAACTGGTTGTCTACTCAAGCAATTAAATAAAATAGACATTACTTTACCTCCCTCGTGTCATATGGAGAATGCATGGAACTATAACACTAACAGCTGCATTCATAAGAAAGCTTACGGGAAGACCAAACATAAGTAAGTGTTCTTAATAACTTGGACCTATATGTTGCACTGCATAAGGTTATATTAGCATTGCCATGATTTTTGTCAGAAGTAAAAACTGATCACAAACCTGGAGTCCTGTCGTCCTAGGACCTGGGCACCTGGCCAGTGGCTGCCCCGTTGGCCTGGCCGCCGCCGCGGCGCCCCCTGCAGCCCTGCGCCCCTGCCCCTGGCCCCTGCCGCCCGGCCAGCCCCCTGCCACTGGCTTTTGCTACCTTGCGCCCTTGCAGCTTGCGCTGGCCGCGCAAGTCGCGCTCCGCCGGCCGCAGCCCGCTCCTCGCCGCGCAGCGTCCATCGCGTCCCGTCCGTGTCCCGTGTCCGTGCGAGCAGAGGCCGAGGGCCGAGGGGGTGTCGGGGGCTCGGGGTGGGTCAGAGGCTAGGAAGGAAGGGGTGGAGTGCCTGAGTGGGCCTAGTGGGCCGTCCTGGGAAGGAGGAAGTTTGGAGGCAAGGCTGAAAGGCCGTGTTTTTTTACTGATTCGGGCTGCAATGAGCGAAAACAGTACATAATATTGCAATATACATATATATACACAAGTATATACACATATATACATAAAAGTATCTCAGAAAAGTTGGGTATTCCTGGAAATACCAGGGAATACCCTTGGATCCGCCCATGGGTGTGGATATTTGTAAGTTCACTAGTTAAATGCCTGTTCGTTGCAACCAGCCAAACCAAGTTTACGAGATAATATAGTTGGTTGAATGAAGCTATTGCAAAATAACATAGCACATCTATAACTTGTATATACCTCATAATTTGCCCTGCATACCTATAATACACAGCGAAACTTGTAGCAACATCATTGACAAATCAAGTTCACAGGCGCATGCTAAATAACACCTTGAACCAAACCAATCATCCACCCAGAAGAAATCTAGATGCAGGCCTTCTGAAAACAATTAGTTCACAATAATCCAAAACTTCACAAATAGATTACCATTATAATCAGTGTACAACATGATCTAAAAATGATTGGAAGAACAAAATATATTCATGAAAAAGTTGGAATTATTTTTTCAACTGACCTCTCTAGTTGGATACTTTTTTTTGAAGTACTTATGTACGACTGATAAGTGAAACACTCAAGTTGTGGCCTTTGTTCAGTTTCCTTCAACCAAACCAACTAGGGATATCAATGGTTGCAGATCACCAAGTAGCCCTGTTAATAAAAAGTTTGATATAAGAACATCCGAAAAGCTGGGTACAGCAGAACAGGATGTTTCTTATGGTAGAAATATCATCTAATGAAAATCTGTCAACAACAAGATATTTAATATGAAGAAGGTCATGAGAGCAACAGGGTGGCCCAAGTCAGTGAAGACTGAAGAGGAGCATGAAGTTGTGCATTTCAATTGCATGAACTGTCAATTTTCCTTTTTATGCCAGAAACTATGGTAAAAGCTACTAATGTTGCAATTGCAATTCAATCTTATATTAAGCCAGTCTGACAATGAAATACTATGTCTTTTGTTCAGTAGACAATGCCAAAATGCATTGATTCTCTTGACGATGTTTGGTGGTCCGAGGCATGTGCGATGGACACACAATATTTGCAAGATGAGATTACACTAATAGCCTTGAGTATTATACCTTAACAATAACCATTCTACCAAACAAATATTATGTAAAACCAAGATTGACGGTACATATATCTAAATGCGAAAGCATGATTGAGTTAGAAGGAATGAAGCTCATTCTATTCTTGGGGGCAACTGCCCAAACATGTACATGAGTTGGGCATATATGCATCTAAGCCCTCGTACAAAGAGGAAAATATGCTATTCACCATATATATCTAACACCCCCCTCAAACTCAGGGTGAATCACAAACACTGAGTTTGGAGAGAAAGAAACGATGTTGAACTCGCGTCTGCGCCTTGGTGAAGAAATCAGCCACCTGGAGCTCGGAGGGCACATAGCGAAGAGCAATGACATTATCCTGCACCTGAGCCCGAGTGTAATATGCATCAACTCCAATATGCTTTGTGAGCTCATGCTTCACAGGATCACGAGCTATATTGATAACACTGGTACTGTCAGACAGAAGAGGAGTGGGCATAGAAACTGAAACACCAAAATCCTCAAGTAACCATCGAATCCAAGTAACCTCTGCTGTCGCAAGAGCTATAGCTCGCAACTCGGCCTCTACACTCGAACGAGAGACCGCGGTCTGCTTCTTTGTCTTCCACGCAATGAGAGAGCCACCAAGAAAAATACAATAGGCAGAAAGAGAGTGACGATCAGAGTCACTAGCCCAAGTAGCATCAGAGTAGGCTTGGAGTTGAAAAGAGCTAGAACGCGGGAAGAACAGACGACGAGTAATGGTCCCACGAAGATAACGCAAGACACGAAGAAGATGGCTATAATGGACATGGGTGGGAGAAGAAACAAATTGACTAAGAATGTGCACAGCATATGAGATATCAGGACGGGTCACAGCTAGATAGACAAGACTCCCAACAATATGACGATACCGAGTGGGATCGGTGAGAGGTTTACCATCAGTAGCACGGAGGTGAAGATTAAGCTCGATGGGAGTCTCAACAGTGCGATGATCAATGAGGCAAGAGCGAGCAAGAAGATCCTGAATGTATTTTTCTTGGGATAAGTAAATGCCATCAGAGGTGGAAGAGACCTCAATCCCAAGGAAATAACGAAGAGGACCAAGATCAGACATAAGAAACTGCTCGCTAAGGCGTGCCTTGACAAAGGCAATATACTCAGAATCATCACCAGTGATAATCATATCATCTACATAAAGAAGAAGAGTGCGACCACGAGGGGATGTGTGAATAAACAAGGCAGGGTCATGATTGCTTGGGGAAAAACCAGCAGCAATGATCACAGAGGCAAAGCGCTGAAACCAAGCACGAGGAGCTTGTTTCAGACCATAAAGAGAGCGACGAAGACGACAAACCATGCCATCAGGAACAAGATACCCAAGAGGTGGTCGCATGTAGACCTCCTCACGGAGTTCACCATTAAGGAAGGCATTTTTGACATCAAGTTGAGAAATGGACCAAGCACGAACAGAGGCCACAGCAAGGAGAGTGCGAACAGTGGTCATGTGAGCCACAGGAGCAAATGTCTCATCATAATCACGACCATACTCTTGCTGAAAACCACGAGCAACAAGACGAGCCTTATAACGCTCGAGAGAGCCATCAGAGCGAGTCTTGATCTTATAAACCCACTTGCATGTGATGGGACGAGCATGAGAAGGAAGAGGGACAAGGTCCCAAGTGCCAGTGCGCTCAAGAGCAACAATCTCCTCAACCATGGCTAGTTGCCATTCAGGATGACAAATGGCATCATGATATGTGGCTAGCTCAGAAAAGACAGTGCCAGCAAAACCATACCTATCAAGAGGCTTCAGCGAGCTACGATCGCAAAGACTATAATGAGAGGAGGGCTGAGATAAAGAATCGTCAACCGAAGATGGCTCAGCAGGAGAGGAGACATCAGAAGGCAACTCAACAGGAGGCGAGGAATCCAGGAGCCGACGACTATAGGTGTGAATCACGAGAGGTTTGGAATCATAAATGGACCGAGGAGCATGTGAAGACGACTCAGAGGGCAGCGGAGGAGAAGGTGGAGGAGGTGAAGATGGTTTAGGAGGTGGAGATGGTGACGGAGGAAGAAGCACAGTGGAGATAGGTGTATCAGGAAAAGTCAAGAAGGACAGAGGCTCAACAATGGCCTGAGGAGAAACATCAGAGGAGAGCCGAGGATAGAAGGAACGAGACTCATCAAAAGTAACGTCCCGAGAGATCCGCATACGACGAGCAGTTGGGTCCCAACAACGGTAGCCCTTGTGCTAAGCACTATAGCCTAAGAAAACACACTCAACAGATTGATGAGTGAGTTTAGTGCGTTCACGAGGAGCAAGAAGAACATAGCACAGACATCCAAA